CTTTTTTTCAAAAAGAGAAAAACTCTATAGCCTAGTGTAGAAAGTGCGCAGTTAATCTTGTGCTAGAGCAGTATATCGCATCGATATCGCGAGGGATAGAACACGCGTGCCGGGCGGATCTATTGCGAAAGGTACGAGAGAAAGGCGACAAGACGCGTGTGGTCCGTCGGACGGCCGACGATGAGTAGGACAGGACCAGAACGACGACAGTATCTTATCCGAGGCACCGGCCGACCGATCGATCAATGGCGAGATCGATGCCTCCTTCGGTCGGCCGGCCGATCGAAGTATCGCGGCATGCTTGGCCGCGCAAGTATTTTTCACCCCGCAGGCGGTGGTGGCGGCGGCGGCGACTGGCCGAACGGCCCGGATTTAACGATAGATTCGACCTTCTGAATTATCAGCGGTTTTTCGATCGAGAATGAGCTTCCTCGATCATCTGGTCATGTTGTATCCAACCAGCATTTGGCGATCGAGCAATTATTGATATTAATTATATCAGTATACGGGTAAATGCATTTTGATATATAATATAAGACCAAAGAGAATTTAGTGGGCTGATGTTCTTACAGTTAGTATGTTTAATTTTAAGTTTGGTCTTTTAGTATTTCTGATCGGATCGATCGACACAACTTTTTCAGTTTTACATATATTCACTAGAACGTTTTTTCCACTAACAAATTATTCTGATCTAACTAAATATATGCGTATAAATATTTTAGTATTATTATTTAAAAAAATTTGGTATTTAATAGAAAAGAACTAATCACGTATATCTATTTGAAAAATTTTGGAAGAATTTTAATTTGTTTATTTTCCAATAGAGACATCTTTTGGTTGAATCAACTATAGATTGCCCAGAATTCTGTGACCAAATTTCGTTTGCAGTAAGTATAAATAAATAAATTATTATCCATTTGCCCTGTATGATAAGAACATCTACGATATATTTGGACCATTCGTGGAGCATTTGAAGAAAATATTTATATTGATAAATAGGGAGTGAGAGAAATATGCCAACATTTGTACACTTCGTCTGCTTCGGACACGTATTCGTCTGCGTGCGTGCGTTATGAATCCCGACGCGCCTCTGTTCGCATAACGAGGGTGCTCGATTCTCGAAATCATTATCGCTCGTCAAAAGCCGATCCGGCGTTACGACCCTAAAGACAGGTAGCCTGCTTGAAACGGTCGCACATATGGCGCACCCACACCCGTGACCAATCGCTAACACGGTCATATCGGCCCTCGTTCACCACACCGCTGCTGCACCGCACGCATCCACCAACACGGCTTCAAACGACGTACCTATACACACGCGACGCGAAACCCCGCTTAAAACGCTCGTTTGCATTCTCCGAATGAATGAAGATATTGGGAGAAAGAGAGAGAGAGAGAGATAGAGAGGTACAGTGTTTGTTAATATTCTAAGACAAACCCTGTCAGAATGTACGAGCAAGAAATGCGATAAGAATAAACAGAAAAATAATAGTATAAAGAAAAATAAAACAAAAGTTGAATAATACAAAGAAAATGGACACAGAGAAAAAAAGAAAAAGAATACAAAAAAAAAAAGTAAGGTCGCAGAGTAAAATAAAATGGAAAATAAATAAATAATGATGAAATTACAATAACAATAAAGTGAAAAATGTAAAAAATTATTTTAAAAGAATTTAGAGGAAGAAGGATATACCTATATATAAGATTTTCGCTACCCAATCAGAAAGAGAGAAATAAAATTATTTATCTCGTATATACACAATTAGGTTCACTTCCAAATAAATGGAAGAGGCCGTGAATGACTCGTACAATAATATAATTGTTAACGATACTATTAGACATTTGACGCTTTTTATTAAATGATAAATCGCATAACTTCTCTTTGAGTGGCGCAAATACTGATAATATTACATCGATTTAAAAACAGTCAGCTCGAGATCGCGTAATGACGTAATGTCGTTCGAATCTTAACCGTAACGCGCGCGTGCTCGTCCGCCCCGAAATTTGTACCGAGCGCGCAACGCGCGACGGCACGTGGGAAGCGCGAACGCGGCACGCCCGAACACGAGGACTACCGCGCCATCCGACCTCGATCCCGATCTCGATTTCGATCCCCGAGATATCGCGCGGGCGACGGCCGTGGCCGGCCCTCCCGGGCCTCCTCGGTATACTCGTCGCCGGCGACGAAAAATTGCACAACAGCAGGTTTCGTTCGTCGCAGCATATCATATAAGAGAGACAGGGCCGGGGCAACCTAATGCTAATGCGGCTACCATTAGCAAGTAGTGAATCGAATGCAAAGTCGGACGTAAGGTGGGACCACACAGGTCGCGCTCGCTCGCTCGCTCGCTTACTCGCTCGCGGAGGGTTATACGGGGCCAGCAGATGCAGTGCCCCATAAACAGCGGGGCGAGACCACCCAACGCGCTTGTTCCTTCGTTTCGTTCCTTCGTCTGTTTCCTTAATAACCACGATAGCCTGCCTGTTACCGTGCGGGAAGGTGTGCAGGCGCTCTCCTCCCCCCACCCTTCTCTCTCCCTCCCTCCCTCCCTCCCTCCCACCCTTTCTCTCCTGTGTACGTACACGCGTATAGTGGATCAAATCGCAAGAGTGGCTCTCTCGCTCGCCTCTCTCGATCCAAATCGTTTTCGAGCTTTCGTAGGATGACGTCGCTCGACCGGACAGGGGGATCGGTGTGTAATTTCCGGTAATTGTCGAGTCGCTCGCTCCCCGATCGATCCGATCCCCCTTGAAGACGTCGTTTGGTACGTCGTTCAGGAAAGCTTGATAAATTGCGCGGCGATTGTCCGTCTCGCCTCTCTCGAATCCTGAAGATCTCTCTTATAATCACACGTCGATCTTTTTTCCATCGACGACTCACGACTTGGAATCGAGAGTGATCATCGCTCTATCTCCTCTGTTCGTTTCCATTACTTTACACGGCTGCTCGTAACTTCGATATTTTCCTTTTTCCTCATAGTTTATTACGAGATCACTCCCTTCCCCTTTTTTTTCCCCTTTCTTTTTCTTTTATTTTTTTGTTTTTCTTTTTATTATAGACTCTAAGTTTCCGAGAACCACGCGAAGGGCTGTTCTAGCGTGATGGCCACCCGCGTTAAGTGCCGAGCTGTGAGATATATTTTTGGTAATCCGAAACTTACAAAAAAGATCACCCTGGAGATTTTTCGGTCGCCCTTCGTCGCGTTTCTGTTAGTAGCACGAGGAAGTCTTTCCGAACGATTAAGCATTACTGTATGGTTAGCATCGTCGTTCTACTTCATACTCGACACTCACTGTTCTTACTTTTCCTACACATAATTACAACGATACAAGTATAGGGTGACTTCGACCGAACCGTGATTAATTTAATTAACACTATTATTAATTACGTAATATGAATAGAACTAATGAATTAATTAATAGAATTATATTTAAAGTATTAAAAAAACATTAAGAACAACGAACAAATATATTCAAAATTTTGTTTTAAACTATAAATGATTCTACCAGTTGAGTTAATCATTAAGTTAATTTGAAATTAGCCCCCCCCCCCCCCTCCATAGTCATCAATTTTAAGAAAAATTATTAAAATGAAGTTAATAGTGCAATACTTATACCACAATCTTGAGGTCATTATTATGTGTGACTGATTAACAAATTTAAACATAAAGAAAAAATATATATGAGAAAAATAATTAAAATAAAAAAAATAAATAATTTTTATTCATTAGAAAAGAAAATTACTTAACTTTAGGATAAAGTATTTTCTCGACTGAAATACAATCACAAAGCGAAATCTACCGACTGATACGAGTACTCATTGTACAACTATGATCGATAAAGAAGAGAAGCTGTTAAAAACAAATCTCGAGATTAATTGTTTTTAAATATTTACGCTCGTAATTTAAAAAAAATGTAAATATATTTAATATCAAATACAACTGTGTTTATTTCAATGTTACTGTAAGATATTACTATCGATAAAGAAGAGAAGTCCTCAAACAAAACATCTTCAAGATTGATTATACATACATATATGCATTTTATATTTCAAATATCATAAAAAAAATATTAACATTAGTATTGGATACAAATAATACATTTATTTCGATATTATAGTATGTTACAGAATGATTTTTTGAGTGAAGTTTATAAACGGATGATAGAAGAAAGAAACAGTGTTATTAAAATAATAAAATTCATTTACTTCTATAAATAATATATATTTTTTTTATTTAACAATGAGCATAATTAATTAGTATAAATTGTGTAACCAAAAAATATATACATTTTAAAGAAAATTTTTCAAAAAAAATAAAACGGAGTAAACTAAAATGGTCGATCAAGTTGTGTGTGTGTTGCAAAAATAGTAGTTTATAATGTTTTTTCTCTTCTCTTTCATTTTCAACTTATTTCTGTAGATATTTGTGTAGAGTTAGATGTATTACTTCTTTTTTAATGCAAAGATAATTGTATCCAAATTACTTTACTATTTTTACGTGCAGAATTATGTACGATTGTTTGCGGCAAATTATTTAATATTTCTCTTTTTTTCTCTCTTCCTCTCTCTTTCCCTCTTTCCCTGTGCAAATTATTTCAATATTCTAGTTGCAAAATTCTAATTGCAGTATTCTAATACCACGATACTTTTAATTAAATCATTTTCATGATTAATTGAAATAAATCCTTGCCCTTATTTCAATACCGAAATAAAAATACATTCTGATAAATATTTTTATACGTAAATACTGATCAAGCAATTCTTATTATACATATTATTTATCAATTTATAATGCGAGCAAAAAGACTCGTAAAACCATTCATGGCTAATTCAAGAATAATAACCCATTATGTTAAATGAAATATTTATCTTTAAAAGTCAATACGTTAGTAAATCAAGTGAAATAAGTGTACGTTTATAAATATTTGATTACAAACACGTATTCTTTTAAGATTCAGAAGATTAAATCAAATTTATAGCCAAAAGATCAATTGCGCATCAGTGCGAAAATGCAACGTAAAGCTCAAGCGTTTATTTTGTTGTTTTTTTTTTTTTAATATCCTGTCTTAATATATACACGGAAACTTCCATGCTCCGAAAGATGATAGAACGCAACAGGGTTTTCCGTTACGCAATCGTTACGTAAAGTAAAACCAGCGCATGTGACAAGGATTACAAGGTGAGCAATCAAGTCCGAAGGATAGAGCCAAGGTCGATTAGAGTTGGTCATTTATGATCCTTACGACGCGTCGTGGAGAACGTCTTAATCGAGTCTGCCGCCGCCGTCCCCGGATTTGTTCTCCAGGTAACGCCGTCGGTATGCTCCGGTAGGATCATATTTGTCCTCCAATAATTTCCAATCTTCCGGTTTATTGTCGATTAGATGATGAGAGATCTTGTCGGCCATGTTTTTTTGCGCCTCACTACAACCGGCGCAATCGTGCTCCAACGCATCCGGCAGATTCTCTAAAAGGATTATATTGAGATTGTGATAATTATTATGATCTTAGAACAAGATTTTTCAGTCAGTTGCCGCGAAACACTGATATATCGCGAAGAATCTCTTACTAGAAGTGCGCTGCAAAAGATAAAAAAAGAATTTAAAAAAAGAGAAGAACTTTACAAATAAATAAACGAGTAAGAAGCGAAGTAAAAAATATTTTTAAAATTGTGAAAATTACTTTTTATTTGCTCTCGTTTTAATCAAACTATTTTGTCATTGCAATAAAAAATTAACTTTTAATATAATAAAATGGGAACTAAAGCTTTTATTGTTTATTTCTGAATGTCGTATTAGCGGTATCTAATAAGAGACCCATGTTTGAAGTATATACATTTAATAAGGTACTTTTACAAATTTGGATTATTATTTAATATGTTGCAAATTAAAAAAACTAGGAAAACCGCCTCACAGCATATATGGTTCACCTGGTGGTATATAAATGCTTTGAAGCATTCTTTCATTCTGTTAATAAAATTCTTTTTTGATTAGTCAATCAAATGCTTTGAAGTACAATAGCATTAAGTGGATTACATTGATTCTTTATCTTCGTTTACATTCATTAGCAAGAATGTTATAACAAAGTGTGTTAGAATGCATACAGATGAGCTTTGAGAAAAATCAATTTTCAAATATCAAGGCGTACTTACCTATAAAATTAAAAAAATATCTTTTTTAATTTTTATGCATTCTCTCATAAATATGAATTCCTTCAAATACAAAATTTTCAAAAATTCTAATTAAAAAAAATTAAGTTTATTAGAAAAAAATATTTATGTAAAATTAAAGAAATTTTTTTATTTCTACTGAGAATATTCCAAGTCTCGGAATATACTTGAGTCCCTCTTGGTTAAAGGATTAAAGGAACATGGAGAACGGACGCTTCGCCGTCCTACGCATACTTACTTTTGAGTTCCGCTGCGTCTGGGGTGCAAGGATTCTTATCAAGCAGGCAACCCACGTATCCATTTAACAGCCTGTCGTTGCTTAATATCGCGTCCACGTCTACATTGTCGAATTTTGTGGTGTACATCTCTTCGGCGAGAACGGAAGAAGACGAGAGGACACACACGGTGATAAAGACGACGACTAGGTATTTCATTGTACCTGCGATAAGATCGATGCGTTGCTCCTGATTCACTGCTCATGAAGCTCATTACTTCGTATGTCTTATAAGGGGCTTGGACACGGTTCGTTAGTCGCACAAAATCGTCCTCATGTGTCCTCGCCATAATTTATCGAGAAAAATGTGCGCAATGAAGCCACTTCCTGTGTCGATGCAACAGATATTTCTCTTTAAATTTAGCTCTTCCTAAATTCATCAATATTTCATTATTCAATTATTAAATATCACTTAAATTCTTTTAATATTATATTTTTTAGATTATTAAGAACTTCATTTTTATATCATAGCTTTGTCATAAAAATCGCTGTAAAATAGAAATTTAATCTTAAGAAATATCTCTTTTATACCCAAATAAATGCGGTTTAAAAGATATTAAAACATTTTTTCGTTAGAAAAGGAGTGATAGAAAGAGACAACACGACATAATAATTTCATTATATATATACTTTTTTGTATATTTGATAAAATGTATAAATAATGTAAAAGAGAGAAAGATTAATTCCATGTGATATTGCAATTATTATAATTTTATCCGATACAAAAACGTAAAAATGGATAAAACGCATAGCAATAAATTTATGTGAAAAAAATTCTCGTGTTCCAATTCTTTTTTCGTATTCCATAGATAGACGGTATAAATGATGTATTACGTGTGCATAACCTCGATTTTTAGACTCGCATAAGGGACGATTGTATCATCGACTCTCGTTATCCGTTCTCTGCAAAATTTCTTTAATTCGTAAATTTAAATTCTTCGCTTGAGGCATTTCGGCCTTGCATAACTTGTTAGTAATTGTAATGCAATATCGTCCTCTGTCGCGGAGAAAATTGATTCTTGGAAGTCTTCTCGTGTAATTGCTACTGTCATCTTGGTAGTACACTTTTGAAAAGCATATATAATAATCACGGTGTCACATGAATAAAACACTTTACAATTAATTTAGCAAACTTATGACATTACTTTATGTTTTTAAGATTTTGTTGTTGAGCAACTTTATTTTTAAGCAGCAATTTATCTTATCTCAATTTTGTTTCAAATATTTTAATAATATAAATATTGTATTTTTAGTGAAAGTTTTAAATAGATTCAATATTTGTGTCTTTAATTGTCTATGGATCTTATAGGTAGTATATAATTATAATAATTATACAATATATGCTTTCTTACTGTCTTCTAGCGCGTTAGAAAATTACTTTACAAAGCATACATTAAATCACGAAAAAATCAAAATGACTTAATTTATTTAGTAATGAAAATCAAAATAATGATTTTTTAATTATAAAATTTGATTATTTACTAACTAGAAGAAGTTAAGAATCAAAATAAAGCTTTTTTTAGTTTTTATTTTTACTTTCGTATGTTACTTTGAATTAACAAAAAATTTAATTTGGTGAATTATACTTGTTTTGATATTAATTTTCTAAAAAAGATAATAATTTATAACATTTTTTTAGTTGCTAGATTTCTAGTACTGAGATGTTAAAAGACTAGTTATATAGTTGCTAACAAAAAAGCATTAAATTCTAAATGCTTTTTGTCCCAACTATAAACCTTCTTAGAAAACTCGCACCTAAGAAAAAATCGATTCCATTCGATCAATGCACATTCGTCTGATTTCAGAGATCAACTCAAAAGTTTCGCGTTTCATAATCCGCAACAAAGTGGCTTATTAGTGTGGATTTTTAATATTTCGCAAAAGAAGGAAACGATGCCCAGCTTGGAGCGGATTAATCTCTGCGGTCGTCTGATCGAAGGAGCGCGGAGGGATTTCCTGAAATATTATCTGAAAAAATGTCCAACCCTGTTTCACATCTGCTACGATCCGATCGGTACCCATCGGAAAGTGAGGGCCTTTATCGGATTTCTCTTCGGATTTGTCGCAGCTGTCGTGTTGTACGAGGGCATAATCGTCGATCTACAATTTGACACATATACCAGTATCTTTCTAGGAGCCATCCTTGTCGTGATGCTATCGATAGGATGCGCTTCATCGATACAGGTAATCTTTTCTCTTACTTCACTCAATTTAACTTATTACCTTTTATATTATCTTACTTTTATATTTCTTGTATAATTATTTTATTAACGTACTTGATTTGTATTAACATTGATATCTCTCTGTGGAAGATAACTCAAGGAACACACAAAAGTCAAAACAAAATTAAAATGAATTTATTTTGATTCTTAACGTCAATAAAATGTCAATTTTTATAATAAAAAACTATTTTGACATTCATAACGTAAGAATAAAGTCATTTTAACTTTCTCTCAACTTGCGGTGTGTTAGCTACTAGGTAGTCCTTTCCAGCAACATACACAAACAACACTGTATAACACAGTGTACGATTCCGTGCTTTCCAACCGTGACACAAGTCAGCAAAATCGTATAAATATAAAATTTTGTACTTGACTATGTTGTCATTTTATATCAATTCACGAACATTACATTTTTACATTTCCTTATTTATTTTTTTTAGAAGTGATACTCTAATAAGAAGTTTTAAGGTTGAAGAGATGTAGATGAGATATGAGACCTTTTTTCTCTTTATTTCATTCTGGCGGTGAAATAAAAAAAGTTAAGCAAAAGTTTCAGCTACTAGTCAACACTGTGCATTACTATGTCACGCAATGTATGACAATGTTTTCCATTACTGGAAGGCAACCCACTCGTTTCTCCAGGAGTTCGTACAATTATGTTACTATGTCGACCCAATTACTATTCTTGATAAAACCGGATCGAAACGCGTTTGCCTTGTTAAATATTTCACAAATTGAAACTTGCCATATTTCTGTGAATTCTACTGCGTCGTAATGTGCTTAATGTGTAGTCGCGTCACGCATGTTACCTTGTCCGCACAATCCGATTCTTATATCGGATTACAAATATTTGTGCAGTAAATGTACAATTCAACGCAATTTCCAATGATAATAAGAAAATGTAGTTATGATAATTGTGTATGCTATTTATATACGAACTTTAAAATGGGGACATACTTATTCAATTAGCTGTATTAGACATATATGTAAGAAAATATATTTTTTTTAATGTATTTTTATCATCATGACATTAGAGAGAAATATATAGAATATTTAATAAATATAAGTTGTTTTTATATGGAGAGAACGATTTTGTTGAATTAACTAAAAATTTAGATATCTGTAAATAATTTTATTGAATCATCAAAATATCTATTAAAATAATTATATGAGACGCTCTAATTGATTGCTATAATGTCCAAACTTTTTGTAGCATTGCTCATTATGTTTAAATTTTTCATGAAATTTCCTACATTATTTTGATGATCCAACCAGATTATTTTTAGATTAATACCTAAATTTTTAGATACTTCAGCAAAATTGTATCACTAGCTGAAGAATATTTGGCATTGCGAAATCTTGGTTTTGTCATTCTAAATAGGTGAGATGCATCTGTCTTTTGACAATACCGACCTTTCTTGGCCGATCTGGACGCAATGTTTTGAGGGCTCTTGTTCTAGGATATATAATAGCGGGACCTATATTCAATTTAACGTACAACTGTAAAGAGGTGGTGAGAACTTTCGCTTGCACGACGCAGTTGACGTACAATCTCACCGAGACGCGCTTCGATCTTATGTTCAAGCCATTTCAGCAGGTGTATCTGCTAATTGAAACTATAATGCAATAAGCAAATTTTAAAAAAGGTTACTTATTTGTGCGATAAAACTTCGCGCGAAAAAGTCAACCGATATAACCGAAGTATCTATAATAATACGTAGGCAGTGCTCGCCATGAAAACGGATGCGGACGAGCTAAAGGATACTTTATCCTCGGTGAGAGATTTGATGAGCCCGATAGTCGAGGAAATCGAGGGCGAAGAGGAGATGAGGAGACTGAAAGAGGAGAACGACTATTTGGATGAGCTCCAGGACGATACGAGAAGAAGCGACGAGATCGAGGAGAAACATGAGAAAGAGGTCGCGAACGCGAAGTCCGAAGCGGATGTTTACGAGGCGAAGTACAAGAGGAAGATTGAAGCGCGTTGCGAAGAGCAGCTTAGCCATGGTGCTGAACGATGCAGGTAAGATATTTAACACGGACTTCATTTAAATAACATCGACGAACTTCGTCTATATACGAACTTCGTATATAGTCAGCAAATAATTTTTAGATATATTTCTCGTAAATAGAAATTTCTAGGAATTCGTTCTCATGCAAATCCGGCGAATGGTATAATAATAGTACCAATGCAATGAGATACGATTGCCGAGATTCTTTGTAAGAAGATAAACCAAAAATACAGAAAAGATTTTTTTCATCAATATTTCCGAGAAAAATAATCTTGAATCTAAAAATTAAGTCTATTCATAAATAAAACTAATAACTATATGTAACAACTATTAATTTTATTGTAGAGTTATAACTATACAATTCTTTGTAATAATTCGACAAAAATATCACTGCTTTAAGCTTTACGATATTTGTTAATTTTCTGAATATTTTCTTTCTTTTAATTTTACGTTCTTAATTTGTCTTAATATTAATTTAATGGAATTTAACATATTGCGGATTTTCAGAGATATGTTTGCTGACGCTTATGACAAGTGTTACGATACAGTGACGGTCTTTGCGGCTTGGCTGTTGTGTTGGCCGATGAAACTCAACTTCGTATGCAACCTGGTGCAGGCCCTCGGTGGTTCCAATATCTGCGATCCCGAAGGAAAAGTAGACCCCGGTATAGGCGAAGGCTACGTTGCTTTAAAAAGTGAATATCATTCGCATCAGTCGATAAAAATTTAGGAATGAACACATTGAATTCCTCCGCGACGTTTTCGCGAGATATTGTCTCCTCTTCATGAAGGAGCCAGAGATACGTTCAGCAAAAGCCTCAAGGACGCGAAACTACAGTATAAAGTAAAGAAGATGCCGGTGATTCTCGACCTTCACGACGCAACAGATGCTGCCCAGGCTGTAATGCACGAATTCAATACACGCAGAAAAGTCTTTGAGTCAGTGATGATGATTATTAAAAGGTAATAGTTGAAATATAGATGATTCGAAGAATTCAGATAATTGTCGCTCGTCTTAAAGTCGAAATAGAAGAAAATTATTGTATGTAGAGAAAATTTTGCAAAGTTTGACCTCTTTTAATGGAATTACATGTTTACTCTTTAAAATATATACTTTTAAACATTTCTTTTATCGGCAATGTTTTTTATTTATCTACGAAGAGAATATTTTTAGTTAAATATATCTAAAAAGTTAATTTAGTTAGATATATAAATTAAAAATAATTCTGTTGGACTATCAAATAGAGTAGAATGTTTAAGATAGTTGTAAAAATGTCAAAGCTTTTTGCAGCGTTCATGCTTTTCTGTGTAACGATATTTTGATGATTCAATAAAATTATTTTGACATCTAACTAAATTTTTAAAGACTTCAGCAAACTTTCCATATATAAAAAAAAAGTTGCTTAAGCGGTCTAAAGTTCATCATTAAAACATACAAAATATTTTTTATACAATTATCCAGATGTCTGTCCTTCGTTTTCTTGAGAATCATCTTAAATGCTCAAACGTATCACGAGAAATACTTGAACGACATCGAGCATGACAACGTATATGTTACTTCGTACTTCCGGAAGATCGATGCAAGACGGAAGGCTCGCGGTAGTCTGACCTTGCTGCCCCTAAAGAAGATCGAGAGATTGAAATTCGTGGATCCATACAGCGTGCGGCCAGGCGAAGTCGAGCGGGTACATTTGACAGGCCAAACGGTGAAGTTGATTCTCGAACTGATCAGCATAACAACGTTTATATTGATGGACAGACTCTTCTTTGAAGCACTCGATTTGATCAGAAGACACTCCTACATGGAATATACTCAGGTTTGGGATTTGGAATGCGATTCAATCAACAATTCTTGTTATTTATGTTTAGCTATATTTAAGCTTAATTTTGAATTTAACTTCAAGATTCTATTGAAACATTTCTCCAAATGCGTGTGCCAAATTTACCTATACTTTTATTTTCTTTTATTTGCAAATTTTAAAAAAGCTAACTTTATAAAAGAATCATTTATTTAAATGTTTAATACGACACAGACGGGGAAATCCATATGATTGTTCACTATTAAAAGTAAATCTAAGAAAACATCGTCAAGACGGAAAGCTTGAAATAATAATCAGCAACTAGCATGTGCAAAATCGCTAGATCTAATGCGGTTTTTTCCTAAACGTTATGTAACTTATTATTGTTTAAGTCTTTTAATTTATTCTTTCCGATCTGTTTTCAACTTTACTCAACTAGAATTTTTTCTAGACGGGTCACCACGACTTGACCTTGGAGATTCGCGGTATCGGAATGATAGCCTCTCTGATACGTAGCGTCATCCGCGGATTCAACGTGAAAAGGCGAGTCAAAACCGTGGTGTCCAATAGCGCGTGTCTACCGAAAGCCAGTAAAGTACCGAATTACATGATCCTCAAGATCTATTCTATCTATCTGGCCATTTGGATGTTGTTGTTCACCGCAGCTTACACGCAACGATTGCGGCGCGTGATCTGCTCGTTCTTTTACAGGAAGCGTGAGAAGAGACGTGTGTTATATCTCTACAACGAGAGCCTAAGACGCAGACTCGGTCACGCTAGGTAGAGAGAGAAGGGATTAATCTCATGGTTAAATTCTGCCAGTATCAGCTTTGAGTTCTTTATGTTTCTATTGTTTCGGGAAAAGACTATTTTGCTGAAGTATCTAAAAATTTAAACACATATAGATCTGAAAATAATTTTATTTTGGACTGTCAAAATAATTATGTAAGAAATTCAAGTATGACGAGCAATTGTCATACGCGACTACTTATTTTTATAGAATAAAATAGCAAATATTTCACGAATGATACTCAAATGAATTTGATGAAACAAAATTTAGAATCAAGAAATGCTCAAATCTTTGCACGTCGATCTTATTCTCATTTTCGATATCAAGGTTCATGCGAGCCAGAGTCAAGACTTTAGTCAGAACTCATCGGCTAGAGTACGACATAGATCCGTGGCTCGCCCTAAGGCTGCGTTGGCCAAAGTTCTGCGGTTGGTTGATGATCTTCGCCTGGGCACGTCACAAGTGCCTCATCTGCGGCGAAGTGGAACCGAGGAAAGGTCCGCAATTCCATAGATGCACGACACCCGGATGTCCCTTCGTTCATTGTCCCGAGTGCTGGGACGATGTCGGTAGAATTTGCTATGCCTGCGCGGACATTGGCGAGACGGACGACGACACGGACGAGTTTGACACTCTTGTAATAAAATAGAAGGGGAACCGGTGTATGCGAATGTTTCGCTCGATACACAGCCTGTTTATATATCCATCAATATTATTTAGTATATCAAATTTAACGCATTTTTTAATTTACAAAAGAAATTACGTGAGAGAATTAATTAATTTAAGTTTAGAGAATTCTACTATTATTTTTAAAAATTGAAATCTATATATATTTATAAATATATAGAAATATAATTTTTACCAGTTCTCAATTTTTCATGCTCTGTATAGGTAATGTTTTTTAATAAAATGTATGTAAAAATATATAATTTAAATCTGATTTATTTGATATAAACTTTTAATAATATGTAACAATAGTAATTATCAAAAGTTAGTACTGAAAATTTGATTTCTTCATGAGTGTATTACACGTACTATACTTCATTGTATTTATATCAACTGATTTATACTTCAGTTATTAAATAAAATCAGACAAAAAATATCAATATAATTAATAGGTATAATAATATATGACAAACAAAGAGTGTCACATTTTTTTAAAGTATTTTATCGATAAATTATTCTATATTTTATTACAAAAACTCTCAAGATAAGCTACGAGAATATGTTGTGGGAACCCGCCACCAGGTCCAAGGAAGAGACTCGCGCCAATTCTCGCATGTATTTGAGACACGCGAAATTCTTTCATATAAGAACCCCGATCTAAGACTCCCACAGGCGTCTGAGGCAGACTGCCAGGCTCTCACTACGATGCCCTTACTGACGAGCCCAATAGTGGGGGCCGGGACGAAACGCCGTGGTAGATGACAATATTTCACATAGGTCCACAAAATGTAATGAAAAGTAGGAAGTATCATCTAAAAAATTCAAAGTGATCTTGTGTTCAAAGTTTTGCTGCTCGTAACGAATCCGCTTTCACAGTTGAGGTAACACTGTGTAAGACGATTAGGCAGTAGCGGCACTGCTGATTGGGGCACTCTCTGTTTTGATCAGTAGCTCTCAAGTCCTTTCTGTGCGTGCAAGTCTGTTTAAGGAAAGTCAAGTTCAATGTTAAAACGCTATCTAAATTTCTCTGATAATTTATTCTAATATATTGCGAAGAATATCACGTAAAATTTTGGCGCTTCGTCCCGGCTTCCACTATTGGACTCATCAGTAAGGCATTGTAGTAGAAGCCTACCTTATACGCCTTGGTAAGTTATTAAATCGAGATTCTATATAAAAAGGTATACGCGTGTCTCAGCACTTACGAAAACTTGCGATAAACCTCTGATGGCGAGTCGACAATGTCGACATAGTAATATTCTTCGCAATATTTATCTAAAGTAAGAAATAACGTCCTATTAATATATATGTAGTCCCTCCAAATTGCGCAATTTGGAAAGGAAGCTCAGCCCTAATTGGAAAACATTTTTTGCTGTATTACAGACGAAAATCTTCCACTCGGTGATCTTGTAATCGCATTGAAAATTTTTCCATGTAAAAAAAGCAGGATTAGGATTTAAATGAGAGGAAAACGTCAGTTAATTCTATACATCATCGAATAGTGGGGATAAACATAAAGATAAATACGCGTGGAGTACATAATCATAACGCATATATATTATGGACAATGTTTTATTTGCATACATATGTACATATTTTAATTATGTCAAGTCCTAACTAGAAGGAAGATGACAATTAGTACTGCATCATAATTTATAATAATTTGATATCGTATATTAATTTCTCTGCTTGTCGATTATCCTTAAATCTAAACACCTTAGTTCTTGGCCTCATCCTCATATTTCTTCGCGTATTTCTCTTCCGGATCGAATTTCGCCTTCAATTCGTTCCACATATCTTGCTTATTATTCACTATATGTTTTATTACCTTCTTTATCATCTCTTTCTGACGTTCCGTACATTTTTCACATTCATTTTCTAGCGCCTCGTTTATGTGTTCTGCAATCATATGATTATCATTTATTTAATGATGTTAAATGCAATATTGGATAATAATTATCTTGTTAACGTCAAAATTGATCTTGCCATCAGTAGTAAAAATTTTTCTTAGAATTTTTCATATAATTTTTCAGATTTTTTAATATAAATTTTAGATTTTTTCATTTTGTAATTTCTGGACTTTTAGAAAGTTCTCAGATTTTAAAATACGAATACTTTTTAGAAATATTGAGAAAATTTATAGTATATCTTTTCTAGAATTCTTCATATATGTTAAATTTTTTACATAAGATATTTCTAAGTTTTCATATTCTATAATTTCTGAAGAAAACATTTATAAAATCTAGAAACATTTAAGACATTTTTTCTTAGAAATCTTTATAAATTTAGAATATGGTAAATTCTTAAAAATATGAGACGTTATCAGAATTTTTTTACTAGGTCATTAAGAAAAAGTATCTTTAATAACACGTTCTTTAATTGCTTATCGCGCACTATCAACCATCAAAGATATTTATAGCATAATACCATTAGAAGCGTACTTTGTACTAAATTAAATATTTACTAGTCTAGGAGTTGTATAATTTAAAGAGCGATGAATACATGCTGAGAAAAACTTTTTCAAACTCGTTTAAAAAACAAATTTCCATATTTCTTAAATAGAACTTATATTATAGACAAAGCCAAGTGTAATTTCCTTACGAACTCTCGATATTTAAAACCATGAAATATGTATCCAAATATTAAAAAATTAAAAAATATAGTGGACGTTTCAACTCTACTTTGGAGTCATCTTCAGCGTAACAATAATTCTTTTTACTCCTCTGAATGTTTGAAACCAAGTCACCCCCCCTCAAATATAATTTCTAATTTTTTAATAAATCATTAATTGCGTACTAAGAACCACGTCTAACTCTCTACTGCCTGTTCCTTTGGACACATATTTCATGATTTTATATTATAGAACTCATATTAATAGAACTTAAATAGAACTTATATTAATAAGAACCATATAGTTCTTAAATAGAACTCGACTTTGCATATATTACATCAGAAGTTACAAAGTTCTAGAATGTCTTCATCTCTAAGAGATATTATTTTTAAAACTGTTTCTAAGAATGATTTTTTGCCAATATATATTTATACTTTTTATTTGGTAAAAACAAATAGTAATCGAGATTACGTATCATTATCCAGATAGTTCAACAAAGAATTCAACAAAAATTCAAAAAGAATTCATTTATATGTTATCAATTTTGTATTTTATTTTTAGATGCAAAAAGAATTCTTTTTTTGAAAAGCTCCATGAAAAGAATCTACATTTAAAAATTAACAAAAAATTAAATACTTGAAAAATTATGCGCAATACTCACTTTTCAGTTCTTGCGCTTCAGCAGGACACCTAACGTTAGGCTTGTCCAGCACGCAATCAACATAGCGTTTTAATAACCGGTCATTGCTAATAATTTGATCTACATCTATGTTGTCAAATTTATTAGTGTACTGATCCGCGTAAACAATAGAGATAATGGCCAACAGGCAAAACACTGCGAGTTTCATGGCTGCAACATACATACATCTAATTAAATGCAAGCAAGGGAAATTCAAGCTCGGGAAAAACTGCAAATTGTACCGCGAGTGATTTTGAAAAATACATAATAGTATAAGCGAATCTATCAGGGCCGTTACACATTTTCTGCAGTATCGTGAGACATACCATAAGAATTAATCAAACAGAACTGAATACATTTGATAGTTTTTAACTGTCATTGACCAATTCTTATATATGGTATTCTTATAGTTACGACAAATGTATACGGTAGTCTTCACTAATGAATTTTATATCATGATCCACGAAAAATTAATAAAAATCTACGTATTTCTCGGAAGAATATCATTAATTAAATGCATTGCTCTTCTATCAACGGAACACAGTCATATATACACATATGCGACACACTAATAGTATCGACTTGTAGCTAAAACGTTGCTTAGATTTTTGTATATTATTTTCTTATGTATCACTTTTATATATATACGTTGCTAAAAATCACCCAATAACGCACCGTCCAGCCGAAAGTGATAGGTGATCTAGATGCTGATTCAACATCGATCGACTAATTATTTTTGGCTGGACGAGATTTACAAATTCAATTCGACGTATCTTTATAAATCAAATACATATAAAAGCGATATTGATTCGTAAAACATATGTCATATCCCCGATGAAAATTTTTCTCAGAATTTTTACCTGAATACAAATTGGGACACTTCAAAAATATTAAAAACGTTTATTACTCTTCTTAGATTTTCCATATATGTAAATTCTGACATACTCTAAAATTTTCTATTCTATACCTAATTTCTATAAAGATTATTCTTCAATTTTTCTAAGATTCTTATTCTATAGTTTCTGAAAAAATACTGTAAACTTTTACAGATTTTGTAAGATTTGATCTAAAATTAAGGAATAATAAATCTTAGAAATTTTTTAATATTTTAAAATTCACATGTATGAATAAAAAAAATGTCGATTGCTTTGGTATTTTTGAAAAGTGTTTCGATTAGTATGAAAAATAAAAAAAATTCTAGTTTGAAATTATTAAGACATTCTGAGAAGTTCTGAAATTTACATCAAAAATTTGCAAGTTACATGAAAAATTTTCACCAGGAACAAAGATGGAAAATATCGGATGACATTGCGTATCATAAATAATACAGAAACATTTGCATATTGAGATGATCATATGGCATGCAGCAAAGAATAAGCTCAGAGACACGTATAATCTTTTCAAATGTCTCTTAGGAAAACGTCACAATATAATTAAAATTAACTTCCACTATAACGGTATTAATAATCGCAATGCAATTATCGCATTTTAGATTCTTTTCAATTCTTTTTGAATTGACACACACTGATCCACATTCGGCGATGAACCATATTCGGATGCGAAAGCGCGATAGTTTATTTACTGCGTAATCACATTCATTTTACAAAGCGATGTCCCGACGAAGGAATCGCGTCGTTTGACATAAGATACAATATAATAAATGCTCACCTAACACGTGTTATTCGCAATCTGAAACGTAATTAATGTACGGATATCATTCGTGCAACTTGATTATATATACGTACAAAGAGACGAACGACATGGTGGGGGATGGTACTGATTTATTCTGCGAATTCCACTTAATCGTTAGCTAGCACCTTCACCTTCGCACCCGCCAGTGGAAAACGCGTCATCGTCGGTTTTCATGACGCATTATCGTTTTTTCCTTTTCTCATTCACAAAGAACTTAGAAACACAAGGGTGATTCCAAGTGTTATTATACCACAATAATAATTACTTCTTAAAAAAAAGAATGCTTATATAATTTAAAGTCTGTTTAAATTATATACACATTCAAAATGCTAATTTGATAGTTTTCTTTTTTTTAATAAGATATTCCCAGAAATTATAAAATTTTCTGCGAGTGGTATACGATGGAAAATTTTTTTTGAAAACTTTAGATTTATTACGTGATTTATCATCTTTTTTTAGTTACTTACCCAGACAGCACATAATATTTATAAAATATCTACTGAACCTTTGTAAATACTTATTACTTATTTTTTTTATATTTTATAAATATTTTTGTGGTTTTAAATTGCACAGATCATAAACATTTATTACAAAAGCTATAGTAAATGCTATGAAAATGTTTAATAAGATTATAGATTAAGACGGATTAACATAATCACATACGCATTTATAATTCAAATAAAAAATACTTCTTAAAAGTAGTTTATTTATATATATCTCAAATAATATACATAAAAAATATTGAATTTTATATATTTATTATTTTAATATTTCGAATAAAGCTTTATATAAAATATGTATAAAATATTTATATAATTTCATAAAATAAATAGTAATAATAAATATTTATCATAAATTTCCTGTGTTGTGTCTGGGTAAGTGATTGTAGCTGTATGATTGTATTATTTTTCATTTCATTAATATTTATTTCTTCTTTATAAAAAATCCATTAGGAAGCAATGTTATCTCAACAACTGAAGATTATTATCAATAGAAATTATTATAATTTATTCGTAAATTTTTATTATAATTTAACGAATAAATTATTATATAATAAAACCAGATTATTTATGTCGATCTTTCTTCAAGGTTTCGCAATGTGATTATATAATAATTTATTTCTAATTTCTAATTTTAAGGAATACTATAATTTTAAGGAAGATTATAATTTTTCAAGATCTGCTATATTTGTAAATAATTCAAGTGATATTAATTATTTTCAAAAAATGTCCGCATTACTTCGAGGTTAACTTTTACCTCAACTTTTTAAATTAAACGGTTGTTTAATCTTTTCGTCTTGTTATTAACAAAAATATCTTAAAACACAACTCTCTTTTTCTGTCATACAATTGCACTTAAATTGAAATAGGTACTGGAGAACCATAAACGTGCTGGTTCGAAGAAACGCAGGGTTTATGTGAGAAAAATATAACTGAAGGATATCGAGCAATTAGAAAAAACATCATAAAAAGTCACACTTTTTAATCTAACAGCTTTGATTAGCTGTGACTCAATCTTACGATGTTTGGAAGCAAATAAGAGTTATTAAAGTAATCATTATATAATTACCAAGTGCATATTTCGCATGAAGTTTTATCTCAGTATTGTTGTTGGGATAACATCAATTAAATTATATACTTAATAGAGGAGATCAGCGAGGAAAAGGTATAAATCGTTACACAAGTTTTTTTTAAATGAAAATATCGCATAATTTATTTCGTACAATATGTTCGACGAATATCCATGTCGGAGTACATCATAATAAATAAGTTGTAAAGAGTTAATTTTTTGTTGTTCAATTGAGAAAATAGTGCGCACAATGTAACACGCGTGTCAAATATTATACAGACAATTTATTGTGACCGAAGCTGTACTTCTTATATAATTCTTTATCCGACTACAGTTGTTTCATAAAGATTGGTTTTTTTTTTTATTTCGATGTTGATACATTATAGCTAAAATACTTTACTAATTAACTTTATATACAACGCAAGGATGAGATCTTTAATCAATGATCGCGTTCAGCAGAAGTCAACACTTGGTGAACTCTCTCTCTCTCTCTCTCTCTCTCTCTCTCTCTCTCT